CTTCACGTGACGCCACAGCCGACATTTGTAAGAAAAGCAATTAATTGGGTTTTATTTTTGGCTTTGGCAATTCAAAGGCAAATGTCGCTGATCGCCTAAGTTCTTCGAAATTGTCGAACTGGTAGGCACATGCTAGTTAATTAACTAGTATTTTTTCTAACTGGTTTGGCTTTTCACTGCAGGGTAGCTAACCATTCAACTAATCTACGTCAGTAAGCTTTCCTAATTGATTCTTTTAATAAGCAGTTACTAAATGCACAGAAATAAAAATAAGCCAAGATGCAAGTTTAAAACTAGGTTTTGGTTAATTATGACAATCTGTTGTGTCTGTTTTTATAGTAGAATAAAGTAGAACAAATTATGTTCTGCCACAGAAAACAACGTTAGAAAAGTTGGCGCTTGACGTAAAAAAGTGACGCAAAAAAGTTTTAAAGAAAAACTAAATTTTCAGAAATATTGCATTAAAAAACATTTTGCAATATTGGTTTATTGCTTGATATAATATGTGGAAATTGAAACTTTATTTATATAAATAGAATTTCATATACATAACTATTGTTACAAAAGCTTGGCCAAACGCCTTGCCTGAGATGAACGCACTATTATTTTTCTACATGTGTCAGATATACGTACATATGTACATATGTACGTGCAGGGGCGCACCCAGGAATATATTTTAGGGGGGGGTTTTATATTTCTGAAGATATATCACCGGAAAATACTGAAAATTTGCCTCAGATAATACCCTCTTTAAAATACATTTATGCAAGTTTTATGTACAGTATATAATAAATAAATAAACGCTTTAAAATTCATAAACTGCACTTTATTTACAGATTAACAGAACTCAAACGCTTTTAACCGACTTCAAAAAAAGGGAGGTTATCATCTCACCGGAATACATAACTTTGGACCACGTGAACCGTTTTCAATAATCCTTTTTTTATTAGAAAGCTAGTACCTCAAGGTTCGTCCCGTAATTTGTTTTAGAGATCCGATGATTGGATCATGAAGAAATTAACGCTACCCCTAAATTTGAATATGAGAATTGAAGTCGGTTGTGTTCTTTCCTTAAAAACTACTTGCTTAATAAAAAGTTCTATAAACTCAAGATGCGCTCAACTTTCAAAAGTACCTAATAAAAAATTTTAAAAAAGAGTCAGTAAAAATAAATTTATTGATTCCATGAATTTTTGCACTTCTATGTTTATTTTTTCGATTTCTGGTTTTCGATAGAGATGGTGATTTTTCACGATTGCTAAATTTTATTAATATTTCAAATACCGAAAAAATTAACTGAACTCTCAAGAAAAACGAAAAATTCATATAAAACGACGGACGAGAAATGGAAAAGAAATTTTCTTCTACCAAAATTTCTTAAATCAGTTTGTAGCACTCAAGAAAAAAATGCTCGTATATTTATTCCCTCATGAAAATTTACAGCAAAAGCAAAGCGCTTTTTCAAGCAACAGAAAGTATAATAAATATTTCTTATAATTTCCTTGAGAGTTGGATTCTTAGCTTTAAGATACAGATTGTATTTGAGGTTATTAGCTTTAGGGGGGGTTTGAACCCCAAAACCCACCCCTAGTGTGCGCTAATGTGTACGTGTTACGAGTATAAAAAGGAATTCATATCAATACTTATTCAATGTAATTTTAAAATAAGTAGCTCAATTTTTTGTTAAATAATAATATTTTGTCATCAAATTAAAGAGGAAATTCCTTAGAATTCAAACAGATTCAACTTTTTGGTACATAAGGACTGGTGAGTGTTGAAAATGTCTTTTTAAAATTTTATCCTTGAAATTTCACAATATTTGATTTTGAAAAAATTATATATTAAGGACTTATATAAAATCGATAACATCCTCGATTTTCGTCCTTCTAACTTTATCAGCTTAAACCATTACCTATTCGTCCTTGTGAATCCAGAAAATTTTAATTTTTTTTTAAATCTAAAGAAATTTCCTCCTGCAAAATCTCGGGATCGTAAAAAGCGAAAATATGTACATCCCTAATATGTACACATACATCATACGAGTCCTAAACGCTAAAAAGAAGTAAGCGCCATTTTCTTCAAATAGTTAATTCTGACACAGAAATGCATCTAGAAGCTCTAGAAACATTTCTGCATCAAAAAGGAAATTTTGAAAAAAATTTGGCTTACATCTTTTTGGCGGTTAGGGCTCGATATGTGAAAATTACGTAATTGAGGGAAAATCTAACTCACGCACGCTCACGCCAGCCAAAGTTTCAATCACGCACGGTCACGGAAGTTACGTGATTTTTCTATGAAAACCACTCACGCGCACGCTTGAAAATGTGTGACACGACGTTTCACGTAGAAAATAAGGTGTTTTGCTTATTTCTAATTCCCATTTAATTACTAAAGATTTTTGGTCGAAGGTTTTAAATTAGCTTTGCCATAAAAATACTTTAAAAGTGTCGTAACTCAAAAAAGCTAAACTCGAGTAAATCGGCTTTATGGTTTTGAATTTACATATGTATGCACATTCCCATAGGAAAAACTAAGGGCCTTATTCTGTATCACGAACGATGAGCAACACGAACGATTCGATACAGAATAGGGCTGTAATACTTATTTTTTTCTAGCGAGAAATTGGGAATGGATACAGCTATGCAATTTTTGCAACACACTCAGCTCAAAATTTATATTTTTTGGACTATGACGCTGTTCAAGTAAATGAGCGATTGTAAAAGGAAGTAAGAAGTTACGGCACTGAGTTAATCACCTATAAATTTTTAGTGCTCGTATAAAATATATATGGATGTTTGTAGGTTTAAATGGATGTAATTGTAGTTGTCAATTTAGTATTTGTATATACATTTTTACTACATTTCGTCTGCGGCATTTCCTCCAACTTGTTTCAACTTTATATTGGTCAGATTCAAGGTCCTTAAATTCCGATTCAGGATAAATTTATAATTTCCGATTTTTGTATTTTTTCGATGCATTTGTATTTTCCTTGTGACGTATTTGTAGGTATGTATGTAGTACATATTTATGTACGGATACTCGTGTATATGTATAAAGTACGTATCAAAAAAACTGATGGGAAAACAAAAGACCTATGACACAAAACGC